GGGGTTGTCATTGGATTTGTGTGTGTCAAACAGGGTCATTCATCACACTGGGCTCTGTTATGTAATAAAAAGCTCTTCCCTTAGGGGAGAGGGAGCTGAACTGAAGTAAGGATGCATGTTGCCGAGTTATTTTATGCAGTGAATGTGAACGATTTTCTCCCTAGGGTGATTCCTCTAAACAGGCCAATACCCAGAAGCACACACACATCGGGAGCCATGCTTTTTAGGAGTCAGAAGAGGTTCAACCTCTGCAAAAAGTCATTTCTTAGCCCGGCTCCAGGGGTGAGCACCGTCTGCCATTTCAAACCAGCCATATTTTACTGCACCTCCTGACATTGTTACACAACATTTATTGAAAGCACATTTGATGGTAATGAAGTTTCTATTAACTATGATTAAATCTCATAAAGCACCTGAAGATAATTTAAGATGTGCAGAGGCAGAAAATGAAACATTCGGTTTAGTACATTAGGAAACGTAATTGATTAAATTATCTCATTTACAATAAGTGCTTTCATGAGCTACGCAGTGCACATATTTCCCCCAGTTTGTCATTACAGTTTGCGCACAGATTGCTTAAGACTTTACTTTTCTTTTTCAGACTTTCTAGCAAATCGACGCTGGGCCCTCCTCCATCCTCCAGGGTGCTCATTGTACAAGATTCTGACGGATGCTTCCTGTCTGTTAGGGCTTTTGGAGGATCATGTTTTTGGCTATTCATAGGAACAGGTTGTTTCTCAATTATCTTCATAATTGACTTTGATTTTGCATCAGTAATAATTCACAGCATCTGAAGCCAAGCCAGCTTCTACAGAGTGGCCATGGACCAGTACTCTTAACCCACTGCAGCTTCAAAAATCCTGCTGTATCCCTTGAGGGACCTTTTGCAGTCACATCATTTCTGTGCAGGTTTTATTTTTAGAAAATCACAAATCAAAATAGTTTAAATGCCCCTGTTGCAATATCCAGCAATTAAGCATGATGCTCAGGAGCAAGAACCCCAAGCAGAAGCTAATTCAGCAGTCCCCAAGGACTAGGAGGAATGGTTATCGTGGGGTTTACAGCTAGAAGTACAGATGTAACCAAATTAGAATGGCACAGGACACACAAACTAAGCATGAAATTATTTTAAAAAACCAAAACAAACACATTCCCTAAGTAACTCTCATGTTGCTTTCTGCATTGATGCTCATGATGTTAAATGTCCACGACACATGCACCAGCAGATGGCATCTGCACTGTGCCCAGCAGGAGGTGAGCTGTCCCTTGCTCTGATGTTTGAGCAGAATGGAACTAAACCTTGCTGCAGGGTCAAACCCTCCCTCTTCTCACACACAAAAGGAAAGCACAAAACAGATGGCCTTTAGGGGAAAAAAGAAAAAAAAGAAAAAGATAACAATCTTATTGCAACAACTCAAAATTAAATTTACATATGAGTGACCTTGGGAAAGTCACTTTCATTCTTCAGGCCTCAATTTCCTCCCCTGTGTACTAAGGTGTGTATTAAGCTGTGTACTAAGGCCCCTTTTAGTTCTAAACTTGTGACCCCTATAAGTGCCCACCAAAATTTCATTTCCCCAAGGGAAGTATTGGTGACATCTGTCTTCTACGAAGTATTACCCAAGGGGTAATAACTTAGGACATGCTGTAATGGAAAGAATATGGGAATTAGACACTAGAGACCTGGGCTTAATCCCATTTGTGACACTTACTATCTGGGTAACATTAAGTAAGTTACTTATGTTCTCTGGGACTCAGTTTCCTCATCAGTGAAACGAAGGGCTTGGAAGAAATACTGAATAGGTTTCTTCCACCCTCAACAGTCTTATCTTTTTTTTTTTTTTTAGCAAATGTAATGGATACACTAGGTCAATATCAAGCAATAAGATAAAGTAAGGAAAGGCTTTCTCTGGCCTGCTTCCACCTACCCATTTACCTCCACTCTCAGCATCTCTCTCATCTCTCCTGGAGGTCATCCTCCTCACTTAACCCCAAGGTCTATCTCTTATATCTGTGGAACCACAGCCTTTTTTTTTTTCTCGAGGAGTATTGTTGATATAAAACTGACAAGGAGGTATTTACATCCTTTCAGAGCTCTCTTGAAGACTGAAAATAATTAGAAGTTCAAACAAAGAAAAATCTTTAATGCTGAGATTTCAGGCCATGAAGGAAGACATTACTGGGCAATTTATGTGTTCTCTCTGCTCTTTTAATTGTATTGTACAGAGAGGAACCAGCCCTACTTGAGGTCCTTATCACATCTAGTTCCATGTAAGGCCAAAGTCCACAGGAATCTAAGATACGATGCTATTTCTATTATCCTTCTTTAGTTCAGCTTAATTGTAGTGCAAAATTATGGGTACTATCTTCGTATTAAACTTGCTAACAATAATGATACTAACAACAATTATTCATATCTACTAATAGACTTAATGTTTTAAAAATCACTTGCCAACTTCCCAGTATGGTAGATAGTATAATTATCCCCATTTTACAGATTAGCATCCTGATGCCGATGGATGTTAGATACCAGCTATCTCCACGCCATGCTGCCTACATTCTGGCCACCAATCTTTTCTCTTCCTCCCCAGTATCAACCCTGAACTCCATACCTGTTGCAGGCTCTTATAAGTAAGCTTTCACTTTATCTTTCCAGAAACCAGGCCTCCATGCCACTTCTTGGCTATGTCCTCACCTAGTTTCCAGCAATCTGACCATCAGCATCATCCTTCAACTCCATCCCAACTCTGCCACACATGTGGACCTATCGCCTAGGTTTCCTATTTCTGATATGGAAGCTTTTACCTGACCTAGATTAAGACCAGAATGATTGCCCTTCCTAGTCATCTCCACATACCCTTATCTCCCACCTACCCAGATGTGTGTCGTCTTCTTCTATTAGAATGGAGGGTAGCTTGCTGATCTTTTTATCTCTGCTGTTTAGTTTAGTATAGTACATGGCATCTAGTTTTAAATAATTATTCTGTCTACCTAGATAAGTTGCTTACCATGGGTAACACAGTGTCTGAGCTAGGATTCAAATTCAAGATTTTTGATTCCAGAGCTAATATTCTTGTGCTTTCACCCCATGATCTTACTCCTTTCTTCCTCCAGCAATGCCTAGGATTTGGTTCACTGACTGGATCTCTCTGTCTGAATCTAACTTCCAAACTACCATTGCAGCAGGAGATTTTTTTCCCTTCTTGGAAATAGCACACAACTCATCTTTTTTTTTTAGGTGTTTTTCAGGATTTTACTATTAAACACTAAAATATACAAAGGAGTGGGTTGGAAGGAAGGCAAATAACCATAAAGGGAAAATTTATAGATTTATAACAGTCCCATCAGTTAAGCCTGCTCCTCCATACATATGTACCAAGAACTAAGACTCAATCTTTCACCATCTCCTTTCCTTTCTTCTTTCTCTTAAATCTTACTCTTAAATTCTGTTCCTCTCAAATCTTACTTATGAATCTGTAGGATGATCCAATGTTTAATGAACAATAGGTTACACCTCAAATTTCTAGCTAATGTAATTTCAATTTGGAAAGTTTTATAAATGTCTCAACACATAAAGAATCTATTTTCCTAACTCTTGGCCCAAGCACAAAAGGTACCTTTCTTCTCTCTCAAAACCTAACTCTGATGAGAAAATTCTTCTCCAATGTCTCTGTTATGTCAGGATTATACAATAACCTCTCTCGTTCTATTTCCCATGGTACTTTTGGAAGTCCTGTCTTTTCTCCTTCCCTGTCTCCATTGATGAGAAAGCCCATATCAGAACCCAGCCTCCAAAGATGTCTTTTTTCCAGGACTTTAGCCTGCAAGAAACATGCATTCATCTTTCTTTCTCATCTAGAGATCCCTTTGTTGTGACCCACAAAGACTTCTACTGTTACTTTGGCCCGTGCTTTCTGTTCTAGCTGGTTAGTTTGAAGCAGATTCCCCAGATGTATTTCAGTAGCTTATGTTATGATGAAATTATTTCCTTCACTTATTGCTTTAAATTTAGGGTCAAGACACCCTGGTTCATCTCACTTTACCCTCTGATGATCATGCAGTTTGGTATCACAAAGTTAGATCTTTGTGATCCCTTCTCCTTGCCTCAGTATCCCCCATGATGCTCCTAGTACTGTATTTCTTCCAAGACTGAATTTATTCTTGTTCCAATCTGATGCCTCTTGGTGAACGTCCCCTGGGTCTCGCCTCTGGTACATTAAGACAACTGGCATACTGTTGGGCCAACAAAAGTGGATACCTGCTCCTAAACCAGCTGAATGTCGAACCCCCTCTTTCATCTCAGGTTTCTGAATTCATGCTTCCTTCTCCAGGGGAATAGGTGACCAAAATGTATTAACATAACCACTACATTTTTATAAAACCAATGAATGACTACATGAGGTCAAGTTACAATGATACCATCATAATTCCTCCTCTCACCTCCACGAGGAAGCAAGCCTGTGAATTAGGATCTCAGGACCTCACAGCATGTCTAGGATTGTTAAAAGTCTTTTCTCTTGATACAATGGGAGACCCCTGTACCCATTTATCATGGATACATTGAGAAGCCAGACTTCAGCCACGCTTTGGTTGCTCTTCTTCCTTTCCCACTTCATGTCAAGGAATGAAAGACTTGTGATCTGTCAGTTGTAAGAGACTATTTTTATGAAAATCCACCAGCAAATATTTGTTAATTTTAGAGCTACAAGTCAGAGATACAAGCAAAGAGAATCCCAGGTGGCATCTGACAAGAAATAGATTTTGAAGTAGCTAGAAGCAGGGAGAAGGATTTACTTTTACCGTTGGGGGTGGGGGTGGGGTGAGAGAGAGGAGAGTGTCTTTATTTTCAATTTAAAACCACCAATATGCAAGAACAAGTCACACAGGGCCCTATGCCTTTCATACAACCTTCAATTTTGCTCAGCTCCAAAACAAATAACAACAGTGAGGCAGCAAATATGAGATAAATTATATTCACAAGAAGAAAAACAACAACTTACTTTGGGGTTTTATTTCATGAAGAGGTTTTTTATCTAAAGGAAAGAGAGAGAGAAAGAAAGTTGCACTTAATAAATTTACATGGAGCAGATATATTTCCTATATCACTTCTGTCTAACTCTATAAATGAAACATTTTCTCCTTGTTTGCAGAAAATGTGAATTATGTTGTTCATGGTTTTCTTTTTCTTATCTTAATATTTTTTTTCATGTTTTCCTCCTCCAAAATTTCTTTTGGGCAATTCATTTGCTTGTTCCACTCCCATTTCCCAACCCCAACTTCACCCCAAGGAATACTAGGGTTTCTCTGTTATATTTTTGAATGTTTACCAGTCTGCTACTAGCAGTGGGCTTGCTGATTTTTATATGCAGCGAGATAGCTATCTGCTTAGGTAAAGGATATCATTTCACTCTATATAATGATATAAGGGGCAATGAATAAATATTTAAAGGAATCCTGCAGTGGTCTGTAATAATCACTAAGAGAAAAAAAAGTACTTCAAAATCATGCACACATATAAATTGTTAGAGCAAACAGGTGTGCATATATTTGAATTATGATTTTGTTTTTATTTAGTTTTTAAAGAAATTCCTCCTATTTCATATTCCCAATATCCATTACTTGTCAATATCTATACTGTCTCTCTCAGTAAGAAATGGTACCATTTCATGAGCACTTCTGAACATGATGCTTCATCCAGGAGTTAGGTTAAAACAAAGGTACTTATTTGGCAGAGCACCTAGGTGGCACCACAGTGCACAGAATGCTGGGCCTGGAGTCAGGAAGACACATCTTCCTGAGTTCAAATCTGGCCTCAGACACTTACTAGCTGTGTGACCCTGGGCAAGTCCTTTAACCGTGTTTGCCTCAGTTTCCACATCTGCCAAATGAGTTTGAGAAAGAAATGGCAAAACACTCTAGTATCTTTGCCAAGAAAATCCCAAATACAGTCACAAAGAGTCAGACATGACTAAAACAACTGAACAACAACAGCTATAATTTGATATTATACTTAGGACATGCTAGCTAGAACACAGGCTAAATTCAATTCTCAAACTTTTTATCCCATCCTTAAATCATTTTAAAGCTCTTAAAAGCATGAAAGAACTATCTCAATCCCATACAATTCAATAAACATTAATTAAATACCTCCCATAGCCAAAAGAAGCATTGTGGTATAGAATAATGGATAGGTAAGCAGCCTCAGAATCAGGAAGACCTATGTTGAATTCTGTACCTTGACTCCTATTGGCTATGTGATTGTGGAAGTGTGACACAACCTTCTGGTATTCTAGGACTAGGTGATCACCTCATGTGGAATAATGAGTTTCCTCCTCCTAGGAATTCTCTATACTAATGAAATTATGGTTTGGTCCCTATCCTACTATAAACAAAACACTGGGAGAGGAGGGAGCAGGAGAAAGATAAAGCTCCTACCTGTAGTGAGCTTACAATTTAATATAATTGACTACCTCAACAGATTAATGTTAAGCAGGGAATCTCTATTCAACTTTTTTTTAAAAGAAATATTAATGACAATAATGACTCTCTGTCTTTTGAACTTTTGCCTAGTTCCTTCACCTTATCAGAATTATTATTTCTCCCTATGATCTCATCCCTACCTAACTCAGAACTATTTCTTCATAATCCCTTTCCTTCTTGTCCCATTGTGCCCTATGGAGCCCTTACTTCTTTTTCAATCATTGTCCTTCCATCCTGGATTTCTTTATCACACTTTCCATCTTCTGACACACAAGCAAATGTAGCTTTCTCTGGAAGACTACACATCCCAGGTTATCCTTTCCACTATCAAATTCTCTTATTCACTATTATGTTATGCCTCCAGACTTATAAAGCCCAAAGCAGATTAGAAACAGTGGGTGGAAGTTACAGGGAGGAAAATTTCTGCTCAATATAAAGAAGAAGAAGAAGAAAAAAAACACTTCCTAGCAATTTAGAATTATCCAACAAATTCAATAAGCTGTGATATAAGATAATAAGTTCATCATAATTGAGAATATTTGAAAAATAGAGCAGAGTAATACATATCTGAGAAGTTGCAGAAAGGATACTTGAATATTGTGGAAGGTTTTATCTCTGATAACCTATGAATGTAGCAGTCTAGTTTGTAGTGTATTTATCTCACAGTCTATATTTAGAGCCAGAATAATCAGATCTGAGAAGCAATTGTCAAATTTTTAGTGTGAACATTTATTTACACTTCAGAAATCTGAAAAAGCTATAAATCAGAGTTTGGTTTATTGTTTTATTGATTTTCTAGACATAAGAAAGTGATGGAGAAAATGCTAATAATGCTGCTGAAACTTAAAAGTGTGCCATATGTATATTTTTTTTTTCCTGGAAAGCCAGCTGTTAAATATTTACTAGCATACCCTTATCTGCAAGGGAACTTGGAGATCATTTGTCCCAAACTTTTAATGTATAGAGGAAAAAAAACTGAGACAGGTGACTCATCCAAGGTCTCACAAAGGGAGAATGATAAAGTCAGTATTTCAGTCCTGGTTTTCTGACTCCAAATCCAGTGCTCTTGCTATTTACCTTGATGCCTCTCTCTCACTCTCTCTTTTTTTTTTTTTCAGTGATTTATTTTCCCTTAAAGCCTATGATGTTAGACTATCAAGGTGGAGTTTACTCCTAACTTCAAAGAGCTCCACAATAGTACAGGGACCTTGAAAGGTCACCTTAGATAGCTACCTCCTTCCTTTTGCCTGAAGATAAGCCTTATGGGACAAGACCCTGTCATTTTGGATTAAGTTTTATAAAGAGCCAAGTATGGCCCTGGACACATGTGGGAGTTTCATAAATTTTGTTTGACTGAATGACTGCTCCTGGAGAGATATGAACATTTATCTTTTAAGACCTCCAGGGAAAGAGATCCTATTTGATAATCCATCCCCACCCTTAATAATTCTTTAGTTGGAAGTCCTTCTATATATTCTTATATATATAAGAATAACTTATATTTGTGATAAATAAGGACCAAGGTGTGGTTTTTTTTGGTCATTGCCTGTTATTTTTGCCCCAAACACTCTCCTTTAAACAATAGACCTAGGTAAAGTCTGATTCCCTAAGCCTCAGAAGCTTCCTGGGGACACAGCTCCCTCCAAGAACTGAGCAGTTCTAGTCTTCACCATTCCACAAATACTTTCTTTTTTCTTTTTGAAATGGTCAATGTGGAAATTTGTTTTGCTCAAATATACATGTCTGTAATAGTGGTTTTGTTTTTCTTTTGTACTCAATTGTGTGTTAAAGAGAGGGAAGAAGGGTTTTTGATTATTAAAAAAATAAAATTTATTTTAAAACAATTTAAGTTCATTAGAAAAATGAGAATCTATCACATGCAAAGCAATACACAAAAGACTGGAGATAAAAAAATGAAAAATATTTTTGCCCTCAGATGAGCTTGTCCTCTGACAGAGACGGACACAAAGAAAGATAGAGACAGAGAGATACAAAAAAGTGACAGGGGCAGAGAGATGGAATATATACAAACCAAGATTTAAAACACAAGATATGATAGGGAAAAGGAGAAGTTTAGGCAAAATGCAATGAGAACTTAGGGGTGAGTGAGGTCACTTTCATCCAGGATTGGTCAGGGGAGACTTCACAGAAGAAGTGACATCTGAATTGGGCCTTAAGAGACAGGAGGGAATTGAATAGATGAAGTTGAGGACAAGGAGGGTAACCTCTTCTAGCCATGGGGAATGGTATGAGCAAAGGCATGGAGATGAGAGAGGGCAGGAAGCCAGGACCAGAAAGAGGTCTAGTGGCTGAAAAATCAACTATGTAAAGGGAAATAATATGAGACAAGGTTAGATAGGGAATTTGAAAGTAGATTTTGGAGGGCACTGAACAGCAGCTTCCAATCAGTAGTTCAGGGTCAGTTGAGTTGGCAATAGTGAGCCATTGGAGTTTTGTTTTTGTTTTTGTTTTTGTTTAGGACAGTCGATCAGTTAATATTTATTAAGTACTTTCTATGTGCCAGGCAATGTGTTAAGTACTGGGGAGATAAAGAAAAGTAAAAGGCAGTTCCTGATCTCAAGGAGCTTATAATCTAATGGGGATGGCAACATACAAACAAGTTATATACAGAATTAATGGGAAATAATCAACATACCAGAAGCTAAGCTAGCAGTGAATTAAGATTTGGCAGGCAGCAATGTAGAAGATAAATAAAACAGATACAGGAAGACAATTGGCTATTAGGATATTCAAAGTAAGATGAGCGCTTGAACTAGAGTGGTTATAGGGAGAGCAGAAATCAGAGGCCAAATATGAGAGATATTATGAAAGCAGAATTAGTGGTACGTGGCAGCTGACTGGATGTACTGAGGGAGGAAAAGAGAAAAGTCTACTTCAAGACTGTTAGCCTGGGAACCTACTTGGATGATGGTGGGACCATTAACAAATAAAGACAAGTTAGGTCAAGGGCCAAGAGTTGTCTTAAATCTATTCTTCTCCTTAAGGGGTTTTCTTCTTACTGCAGTCTAAATTTCAGTTATCTCTAAACCCCAACCTGAGGATTCTGACTTTCTTGGTCCCTTATCCTTCTTGGATCTCTATTGTCAGAGACCAACCATACCCTGCTCATTTTCTCCCTGCCCCCACCTGCTCCTTTGGCTGAGATGACCATATCACTCACTCACTCTCTCTCTCTCTCTCTCTCTCTCTCTCTCTCTCTCTCCATATATGGAGAGAGAGAGAGGGAGACAGACATATATATATATATATATATATATATATATATATATATATATATATAACCATACACACACATATATACACACATATGTAAGTACACATATATTCACATATATGTCTAAATATACATATAAGCATATACATAAATATATGATACTTTTTCATAAGGCAAATGAATAATATTCAAATATATCAGAAATTAGGCTAAAGGAAAATAAAAAGTGCTTATTTTAAAAAATTGACTAGTGTAGACTGGATGGTAACCAAAGTTACTAAGCTTAAAATTCCACAATGATGTCTCAGCTCCTTGATT